AAATCTTTGAAAAATAAATAAATAAAAATACATGATAAAAAAAAAGAGTCCTACTGGGTTGTGTGGAAGAAAAAAAACAAACCCAAAACTGTTAAGGCACTCCTTTAAACATAAGTGGATATCGATTTATAATAACCTTTCTCTGTATTTCATAATTCAACAGGCATGAGAGTTGGAACAGCTCTTCCTGGTGCTCTGCAAACATTTAACGTCACCTGCCTCTCCTCATTCCAACCACCTTCTTCTACAACATGCCAGTATTAGTTTTTCTTGGCTTAATGATACCCTTAACCACCCTTTCATATGTCCAAATACCTTTTGTGGTGAGTACTGGCTTCCTCCTCCTCCCTCCACACCCCTCAAAAAAAAAACCTTAAATAATACTCAGGTATTTAGGTAAACCTGCCTCATCTCCTCTTCAAGGAGAAGAGATTCATAAGAAACCTTACATTTGTACAGTGTTCCTGTGTCCTCTGGTCACTAACACAAAGGTCACTACTCAGCTGGCCTTCACAGCTAAAGTCAACAGTTAGTGCCATTCATGGGCTGCTCCACACAGAGAAAGTCAGTCCTTGTTGGTATAAGATTAAATAAAAATTAGTCTCAAATGTGACAATTCAGTATATCTTTGTTGCACAATTGATTTGTCTATTAGTCTCTGGTAAAAAGAAGGAAATATTTCTATTGATCTTATGTAAAAAATTATATTGCTATGACAGTGAGGAGACTCAGTAAAAATATTTGTTTCTCAATTCTTAGATATCAGTGAGAATGAGATCCCAAAGGCAGAGTCTACTAACTTGAAGACTTGAAGAACTACTTCACAAGATAAAGAAAAAACTCTCTTATGCATCTGCAAAAAGTAGAACATTAAAATACCAAAATTATTCTGAGGGCCTCCCTGGTGGAATAGGAGGTTGAGCGCCGCACTGTGGAGTTGTCCGCAGCCTCTGCAGTACTGGTTCTATTCCGGCTGGCCGGCAAGAATCCCACATGGCGCAGCAGACCTCTCCTGTCTCGCCCGCTGCTCCCCTCAGCAGTGCACTTCAGTCAATCTGCCTATTCTGTTCTGTTCCCCCCTGTCTCCAGTGAATCCTCTCACCCTCCTGTGCATCTGGCCTGTACCCCAGCTCTTGTATAAATAAATAAATCTTAAAAAAAAAACAAAATTATTCTGATTATCCCGTTCAAATTTTCCACATTGTATTAAGCCCATTGTAATCAATTTTTATTTCACTGAGCCTTGGGACAAACATTTTCTTTGATGAAGTATGTCTCCTTTTGGACAGAAAAGAATCCCTTGAAACTACTGCCTTCATTCACTAGTATAGTCTGAATATATCTTAAGGAACGTTATCTTGGAAGAGTGCACTCAAGACTTTGTTCTTTGAAATACTTACAGTTCAGAGTACCTAGTACATTCTTTTCCACAGGATCCTGAGACTATTTTTGTTAGCGTTGTTACTATTTTTGTTGAAGGCATTAGCCTATCGCCTAAACTACAGTCTCAGGCTAGCTTCAGAGGGAAGTAGAAATCTGTTTAATAATGAGGCTGAAATGCTGTGGTCAATCTACTACAGTATCAAGTACAATAATAAAATACTTAAAGTTTAAAATTTTTCTATAAGCTGCTTTATAAGGTTTTGAAGAACACTTTTCTTGAAATAAATTCTTGTGGATAGTGAGGGCACTAACAAATTTCAAGGCTCTTCCCTTAAAATCTACAATCTCTGAAATGTTTACATGAACTTAACCTAGGGAAGGCAGAAATCTCTTTGATCTGACAATTCTTCTCATGTAATCCTTATAACAGTGCCGAGCTAATTAAGAACAGAGCATAGCAAACAAACCTAATTATTTCTACACTCTCTAGTTCAATGACCTTTTATGGCAGATATAGAAGTGCACTTTTCAGATGTCCAGATTCCTCTTCAAGAAAGGATTTATGGTCTACAGCTATTAACTCTTTCAGGTAGGCCTCAACTTCTAAACTTAGGTCATGACCTTCTTGGGGTGGCCCCTGCAGTGACCAACCAAGATATGCTACAGAGACCTAGACTTTCACCCAATGTGACTCTTCTAACAGCAATACTGATTCCGGACTTTTCATTTTGAGCTTTCAGAGGCTTTGTCAGAGTTGCATCATAGTGTGTTGATTCTCCCTGTCAATTTTGCTTCCTGTTTTTCCTTTCACAGATATTACTCTGCGAAAAACCTTATACTCCTATCTCCATTTCAGTGGCTACTTCTCAAAGGATATAACTGGCACAGCAATACCAGGAATAACCAAAAAAATCGAGTATAAGTTGGAATTTCAAGACTGGATCCCCCACTGCCTAACTCAGAAAAAGAGCACATCCCAGATGGACATGGGGCACCAGAGGATAATGTAATTGCTAAAACTTTTCACTGGTAGAAAACACTGGAATAGGGAGAGTTTATTGATCAGTGAGGTACTTTCTTGGAATTTAGGAATAAACACTCTGGGAAGGAGCTGAGGGAGTGAACCAAATTCACAGCCAGGGCTACTCCTAGACACCTGGAGAAAGTGATGATTCATGCTGAGGAAAATGGAAATGCCTGGGCCTCCCTGATGGCACAGGCAGTTGAGCACAGCGTTATCAAGCTGTCCACAGCCTCTGCAGTGACGGTTCAATCCCCGCCGGCATCAGAGCATCCCACGTGGTGCGGCAGACCTCTCCTGTCTCGCCCGCTGCTCCCCTCAGCAGTGTATTTCAGTCAGTCTTACTGTTCTGTTCCCCACTCTGTCTCTGGCGAATCCTCTCACCCTCCCGCACATCTGGCCTGTACCCCGGCTCTTGTATAAATAAAATAAATCTTAAAAAAAAAAAAAAGAAAGAAAGAAAATGGAAATGCCTAAATGCAATCGCTGACCCTGGAGAAAGTAAATAAACAGCCCAGGGAAGTAGATATGCTAAAGTGAACATATTATGTGAGGTCAGGAAACCTACCAGAAAACTATTTTCCACAGGAAGGCCCCAAGGACATATCATTCACCAAAAGCAACAGGAATGTGCTAGTAAGTGGGACACCAACATCATGAAAATACCCAGTGTTGATTCCTCTGGACATATCAGGGATAAGAACAGGAGGCGCTGCCATGGAACTTGGTTCATTGGTAGCAGTGAGGCTAGGATGAAGAGGCATGAAGCAAAGCAACACTTAACCCTCAGATGTTAGGCAGTCACAACTGACCAAAAAGTTGGAGCAACAACCAAAATAAGGTTGTAAAGATGGCTAATACAACATAGCGTCCCTAGGGGTAAACCACGAGAGCAGTCAATGAGATTTTTGTTTAAAATATATAATTGAGGGCCTCCCCTGGTGGCACAGCAGTTGAGTGCAGGGCTGCAAAACTGCCCACAGCCTCTGCAGCGCGGTTTGATACCAAGCCGCTGGCGAGGGTCCCGCCTGGCGCCACAGACCCCTCCTGCGGTGCCCGCTGCTCCCCTCAGCAGTGTATTTCACCACTTTGCTTGTTCTGTTCCCCGCTCAGGCTCTGGTGAATCCTCTCACCCTCCCGCACTTCTGACTGTACCCAGTGCTTATATAAATAAATAAATAAATCTTTAAAATATGTAATTGAGGGGCCTCCCTGGTGGCGCAGGGGATTAAGCACCACACTATGAAGCAATCCGAAGCCTCTGCAGCACAAGTTCGATCCCGGCCGTCCAGGGAGCAACCCACATGGCACAGCAGACCTCTCCTGACTCGCCCACTACTCCCCTCAGCAGTGTACAGCCAAAATACACTGTTCTGTTCCCCACTCTGTCTCTGGTGAATCCTCTCACTCCCTACATCTCTGGCCTGTACCCCAGCTCTTGTATGCATAAATAATTTATATATATATATATAGTTGAAAGTAAGAATGGATGAGCAGAAGCCGAGGGCGGGTATTACAATAAAAAGTTAGACTCTCTTGCTCATTTCCTAGACATGTACCACGTTTCCAAAGATTGAGAGAAGACTTAGCTGGATTTTAGGAAAAAATACCCTGCCACACCATGTCAAGTATACGTTGTAATGACTGCCCCAGGCTTTCCCCAGTGGGACCCACTTGCACTGATTTGAAATACTGTTCTCAGCAAGGGGAATACCCACATATTTTTAAAATATTTTATTTTATATAATTCTTACATCATTTTTCATTTTTGCACAATGTATACATTTTCATTTTGGTTATTTTCCCCATACAATTGCACCCCCCTTATTTTGACCCTAATCCTCCCTCGTCCCCCATAGTATGTCTCTGTTTTATAGTTGCTTGTTGATTTTGATTTTAACTTTGTATTAATTAGTCTTTTTCCTGGTCCCTTATCTAGGTTTTCTAAATTCCTGCTATGAGTGAGACCATCTGGTATTTTTCTTTTTCTTTCTGACTTATTTCGCTGAGCATGATCCCTTCCAGCTCCATCCATGTTGCCACAAATGGAATGAGTTTATCTTTTGTGAATGCTGAGTAATATTCCATGGTGTATATATACCATATCTTCTTGATCCAGTCATCTATTTTTGGGCATTTGGGCTGTTTCCATAGCTTAGCTATTATAAATAGTGCTGCTATAAACATAGGGATGCAGGTGCCCTTTGGAATTAATGTTTCTGTGTCATTTGCAAATGCCCACATATTTTGAGGATTATTGGCTACAAGGTCAGAGTAGACACCGATACCCAAATATTGGAAGCAATCTCATGGCTCTCCTATTCAAATGGAGGCATATGGGGACTAGGAAATAAGTGGAGTTATTGTTGGAGTCTTCTTTACTATGGGTCCAATGATATACACCTCAAATTAGTGACCATTTACTCAGCTGAGTGTACAATCAAGGTTGACACACTTCACAGGGTAACTTCCATATATTATCTTTGGCCTGTGGAGAGTAAGAACTGTCATAGAAAGGGAAGATGAGATAGAAGCCCTTGAAACTGTATTTTCTGGCCAAGAGATAAAATCTGAAACAATATCACAATGCCAAGGAGATAATAATTAATAACACTCTTAAGGATATAAAAAACTAATGGTTCACATCAGGTCTCCATTTACTTTAACAACCTGGCCCCTGCAGAAACCAGATGAATTAGTGGGATGATTACAGACTATTACAAGTTCAACTAGGCAGCAGCACCAATTGTAGCTGCTATACCAGGTGCAGCTACATGGTATGTGACCACTGATTTAGAGAGTGCATTATTTCCTACTCCATTTAAGTAAGACAATTAGAAATAGTTCGTGTCCACATGAAATAAAAAGACAACAAACACACTGACACTTTGAACCCAGGGCCATGTTAACTCTCTTTTCTCTGTCATAACACAGTTCAAAGAGATCTGAATCAACTGGAAATCCTGTAGAGGATCATATTAATGGCCTTATGCTTATCAAATAGGTCGAGCAAGAAGTGTTTGGAATGCTGGAGGTTTGTGCTCCAGAGAAAGAGAAAAATGAACCCTATAAGCAATCAAAGACCACTACTCTCATTAAATATTTTAAGGCCCCAGTGTTCAGGGAGGTTGGAGAATATCCCCTTCAGAGCAAAAGATGAATGTCTGCCTCTTGCTTCCCCTATAACAATGGAGAAAGCATAATGCCTCGTAGGCTACTTTGGATTCTGTAAGCAACATACTTCATACCTCGGATAAATTTCCTGGCCCATATAGCAGATGACATAAAAAGCTCCCAGCTTTTCGATCTGGCAAAAGAAAGTTCTGCAGCAGGTCTGAACTGGTACAGTCTTGGATATGGTAGGTACTATGGGGTAGAATTGTTAATTTTGGAGGAAAAAATGTAGTATGGAGATTATGGAAATGTTAGTAGGAGAATCACATTCAGGCCCCTGGGGTTCTGGATCAAGATTGCATGTCTTTTGAAAATTAGTTCTTGGGATGCTTCTGGTAAAGAGAAAACACTTGACCATAGGACACTAAATGACACAAAATGAAATGTATCTTGCTGAACCCACATCACAAATTTTGGGCACGTCGAGTCACTTCATAAGATGAATGTACCATGTTTGGGAAGAAGCACAAAGATAACTGGAGAGCACAGGCAATCCACACTAGCAGACAATGCACACCTTGATGTCATCCATCACATTTTCATCAAGATCCCTCTCTCAGTCATATTGATGGCCAGGTGGGGTAAGAGTAAGGTCTTGAACAAGCTGAAGGAAAAAATAAAAATAGTCAAGCTCAGTTTATAGCTGGGTTAGCAAAGTATGTGAATGAAAGCTGAAATTGGACAGCAGCTCCATTAGTCTCACTCAAGGAGACCCTTGAAGACAGGGGAGAGGGTCAATATTCCTGAGAGGCAGATCTTTAGGTGGTACACTTGATCAACTGTTTTGTGTGAAAGGATAAGTAGGCTGAGTGAAAATGTAAATAGGCAATGGCAAATAGCTTGCTAGCTGGTCAGAGATCTAAAAAGTTAAGAGATTCAGAAGGTCAAAGAGAGGGAAGTCATAAAGAGTAATTATGTGGCCACACATGTTGATATGGGCAAAAAATGGGAAGATCTTTATGTCACATATCAATGTCCATCAGAAATCATACAAATGGAAGAAGTATTTATTAAAAAGTAGTTAAAATCACTAGCTAGGGCCTCCCTGGTGGCACAAGGGGTTAAGCACCACACTATGAAGCAATCTGCAGACTCTGCAGCACGAGTGCAATCCTCGGCCAGCCAGGGAGCAACCTACATGGCGAAGCAGCTGCCCCCTCAGCAGTGTATTTCAGTCAGTCTGCCTGTTCTGCTCCCCGCTCTGTCTCTGGTGAATCCTCTCACCGCCCCCCCACCCCCGCCACACATCTCTGGCCTGTACCCTTGCTCTTGTATGCATAAATAAATCAATCTTTAAAAAAAATTTACTCAGCTAGTTAATGTTAGCTTGTCTTTGCTAGTTGCCCCCCTCCTCCAGTGTTGGCACAGTGGACACATGGCCACTGTGAGACATGGTGGCATGTTATAGCAGCATGGTAGCAAAAATGGAATCTGTGCATGGGTCCATGAACGTGTAGTCTGCTTACCATAGCTGATCTACCTACAGGCTCATCCGGAAGTTCAACCTGTCAGCAAAAGAAACCAATGTTGAGCTCTTAATAAATTACCTTTCTTTTAGGAGATCAAATCAAATAGCCACTTGATGGCAAGTTCACTACACTGGGACCTTTGCATTCTGAAAGGGGTAGCCATCCATTGCATGGGGAGAGATTACTAATTTGGGGTATGTATTTGCATTTCATATCCAATCTTCATCCAACACCACTATCTGGTGTTTTATACAATGTCTGACTACAGGAATGAGATACAATACAATAAAGCATCTATCCAGGAAAATCACTTTGCAGCAAAAGTGGTATAGGAGAGCACCCATGACCATGAATTTTACTGGTTGTATCACATATTGCATTTCCCAGAAGTTGGTGGTCTAATAGGTCAATGGAAAAGCCTGCTGAGGGTGAAGTTCTGGCACCTTCTAGGAGACAACATTCTACAAAGATGAGGTATTGATCGCCGGGATGCAGGTAACCTTGGTATGGCTGAGTCCCCAACAAGAAAAATATATGATCCAGGACACGAGATTAAAGTCGGCACAGTCGCACTTACCATCATTCTCAGTTACTCTCTGGGGACCTAATATTGCCCATTTCCCATTCTGCTTTGTGGAATTAGAGGTTCTAGTCCCCAAAGGTTATAATTCTTGCTGTAGCAACTAAATTTCATCTACTATCTAGGCATTTTGGCCTTTCTGAATTCAGAAACAAGTAGGCAAAAAGAGGGGTTGGTGCTTTGGCAGGGGAAGTTAATGCAGATCAGCAGGAGGCGGTAGGTTTGATATTACACAATGGAGGCAAATAAGAATATGATTCAATTGGGCACATGACTATAAATGGACAGAGCAGCAACACCTGCTTGTCATGGAGATTATTAGCAGGTGTTCAAATTTCTCAGCGATTAAGGTTTCCACATCACTCATTGAATCACTAATACCTTTAGGGATAGAAAAGTGTTTGCACACAGTCCCCGGGAGGAGCACAGTTACATTTCTGCAATCCACAGTTCAGCTGGGCTGTCACCTTTTTCAAGGTCCAAATAAGGTCTGGCAGGTCTGGGAGGCCTGGGAAGAGCCTTTTAACTACAGTTTCTCCCAACTTGCCAAGAGGGAGGGAGGGGTAGTTTCAAGGAGTTCTGAATGGGAGAGAGGGATGGAGCAAGGTATGCATAATTAAAAGGGACCCCTCCCATCCAGAAAGAAAAAAAATCCTTAAAAATCCTTCGTTTACTGCTAAGTGAAACTCTCCCCCTTTCTGAGACTGCCCACTGCCTCATTCCAGTGCTTTGTGAAATCCTTTTCTCAAGAGACACCAAGAACCCTCTAGTGCTGCAGTCCTTAACAGTACCAGCAGAGGTAGTAGATGAGAGGTAAGGGAATTTTGAAAGAATAGTGAAGAAGAGAGTCAATGAGTTCAGTTGTGGCTCAAGTCCATCTACAAAGATGGGGGATGTAGTTGTCTCATAAGTTGTCTTCAGGAAGAGGTCAACTGGGACCCTGGAGGAACTGTATATGTATATGTTTATGTATATGTATAGCATTTCTTTTTTTTTAAGATTTATTTTATTTATTTATGCATGCAAGAGCTGTGGTGTAGGCCAGAGATGTGGGGGACGGGGTGAGAGGATTCACCAGAGACAGAGTGGGGAACAGAACTGACAGACTGACTGAAATGAACTGCTGAGGGGAGCAGCCCGCAGACAGGAGAGGTCTGCTGTGCCATGTGGGTCAGCTCCCTGGCCAGGGATTGAACTCGTGCTGCAGTGGCTGCAGATAGCTTCAGAGTGAGACTTAACCCCCTGCACCACCTGGGAGGCCCTGTAGCTCCCTAAAACTGTAATAGAGGAATGTTCGGAAAAGCCAGGTCTGGTTTATAAAAGATTGGGGTACATAAAGATACAGTTGATCTAGGAAAAGACAGTTCCAAATAATAACAAGTAGTTGAACTCGTAGATTTTGTTATTTTGGAAAAGTAAAGCTTAGGAAAAAAACCACTTTGATTGATTACCTCTTATCTCTGTACAGACTGCTTGCTATTTCCAAATCGGTCAGGAAATTTTAACCTCACGATGTTTTGCCAGCTGGCACCTCAACCTAAAATATATTCATCATCTTCTCCACAGCGTTAGCTTCCCCTCATTATTTCACTCAGGTTACGGTCCAATATTCTTCCATCCTCCGGGGCTTGAAATCTTGAAACTTAGAAGACAATGATTTGGTAACACTTTCACTCATATAAATGTCCGTGGTGTAACTACTGCAAAATGCCTGAAAGGTGTGTCCATTTTTCTTAATATATCCAACGAAATGTGACTACTAAGGTCTACATTTTGTCAACTGCAAAGGAAGAGAAATTAACTAAATTTTGCCAAACTCTAATCACTGGGAGGTTTCAGGCGACTCTCTGTCACGTACTTCCTGGCGCTAACCCAGAACTACAATTCCCATTGTACCTTGCGGGATTTCAAGCGCGGGACCATCGCTTATGTCATTTCCGCTCTCTCAGCTGGTGGCTCATGGGCTTTGTAGTTTGTACCAGCTTTTGTCTCCGTCCTTTGGAAAGAGATCTTTCGAGATAGATCGACTGCTCTGAATCTGATATTACGAAATGGTATTAAAAATAAATTAATAGAGTAGCATATCAAAGCCAATCTAGCACTAGGAGTTTATGTATTTCACGGTCCGTCTTCCTCCCGCCGGTGCCCGGGAAGGGGAAGTGACGTGCTTCCGGTGTAATGGCGGCGCGGTGGAGCTCCAGGTAATTACCGAACTCCGCAGACTGGCCGCAGGCGGCGGGCCAGAGTGGGAGTCGGGGGGTTGCCGGGCCGGGTTGGAAGTGAAAGGGGAATGGTAGTGGGTGCGGGCTCGCTGGTGTGATCGTGGGCGGCGTTGGGGTGCGTGTGGCTCTCCGGCGATGAGCTCTCACGCAGGACATCCTGACAGGCCGTAGAGCCGAGCTAGTGCAGAGGGTCGCGAGTGAACTCCTCCAAGCGTGGGCGGTCGGACGTAGCTGCCTAATGAGGTGCCTGAGGTTGTCTTTCGGCGTCGTCTTTCTTGCTGGAATGTAGCACCAGGGCTGGTCCTTTCCTTTCTTGTGCGGCTTGTTTCCCGCACGGATTCTTTGCGTTTCTCGAGCCCCCACCCCCTTTCAAGTGCCGGGGTCCCAGCAGTGGGGGTGAAATTAATAAACTTTCTTTAACTTAAATATAGTGCAAATTCCACTTTCATGCCCCGATCCGGCGTAATATCCCTATTACGTTAGACTTTTCTTTTTTATTTCTTTTTCTCGTAAATACAGATACTTCCTGGTATGTTCTTTCTCATTGTGTGTGTTCTTTCTCTGTTATCCTTTACCCATCGTAACTTCAGCTACCTCCAATATGGTGATAACTCCCAAATTTGGGTCTCCAGTCTCATTAGATCTATCTCTTGGAGGAAGTTACCTAACTCCTGTGGTTTCAGCATCCACATTTGAAAAAAGTGGAAAATACGTAATACCACTTACCTCAATGTGTTGTTTTGAGGATAAGAAAAATAATGCATTTAAGCATTGTTCACAGTGCCTGGTATACAGTGTTAATGAATTGTTCCTGCTAGGGTATGAGTAGTTGATGAATTCTCTCTAATAGAGAGATGGGCAGTCTCCATGAAAGTGGCATGCACACTTATGTAAAGTGGTCAACCTTTAGGAAAAAAGAAATGGGCTTAGTCTTTTTTCCTAATGGTTGACCACTTTACTTTAGTGTGCATGCCACTTTCATGGAGACTGCCCATCTCATTTGGCTAGGCTCTGAGACTAATACCTGGCCCAGTTTTTCTTGAAATTTGTTCTGAATTCACAGTATTGGTATCTCCAAGAAACTTGTTAGCAAGTAAATTACTGGCCCTCACTCCCATCCTGTTGAATTAAAAATAGGAATGAGACCCCCAACCACCCACCTCCAATCCTTTCTTTTTCCCAGACCAACACATGAAATTAATTTATGTTAGTTTGTGAATCATACTGTAGCCCATCTCCAAGGGTTCATCCCTACCTGCACCCCCAGAGTCAGGTTTGCTGCCTTCCTTGCTAAGTATTTGATTCATGGTCAGCCAGTATTTCCGTATTACTATGTTGTCACACCCTTCCCCACTTTGGAGAGTTTATTTAGCTCCATTCACCTCTGAAATTCTGAGACTTCTAGACTATTTACCTGTCTTTCTTAAATGGCCTTTCTTAGCTGTTTTTCTATCTGAATTGTTAGAAGTTAACTCTTCTTCCTAATGATTGTATATTGTGAAATGATCCATTGTACCAGATATCACCTAACAGTAAATAGAGGTACGCTGTGTTTTTAATGCCTGTGCCGTAAATTGAATAGTATTTTTTGTTTATTGCCTGCTATATTTACATTGATTTTTTTTTGTAAAGATTTACTTATTTATGCATACAAGAACTGGGGTACAGGCCAGAGGTGCGGAGTTGGGGGGGTGAGAGGATTCACCAGAGACAGAATGGAGAACACAACAGGCAGACTGACTGAAATACACTGCTGAGGGGAGGGAACAGCGGGCAGACAGGAGAGGTCTGTTGTGCCATGTGGACAGCTCCCTGAGGAGATTCATGCTGCTGTGTTTAACCCCTTGCACCACCAGGGAGGCCCCTAGATTGAATTTTGTATCACCTGGTTTATCCCTAACTTGATATAAGTCATGACTGACGTAGAGCTAGTTTTAACAAAAAACACAAGGCATTGTAGCTGATCCCACTGAAGATTTTGAAAACTCCCCTGTTGCATTTCTCTGTTCTGTCTGAGACTGCTGGCATGGGAAGCTGGTGAAACAGAAAGGCCCCTGGGATATGGGTTTCAGCAGATTTCCATATTTACTAAATCTGTGGCATAAATATATTATCTCAGTATGTATATTTTCCAAGTAGACACTGGAAGAAACAGCACAACAGGAAAGGAAGAAATGGATTAAAGTAAGTTTTCCTATGTATAGCCAAGCCAATAGTTCTTTTCCAATTAACAGATACCTAAAAGATAGTATGGGTTGCCTTTACTTGGAGACATAAGAACTGGATTATAGAATAGGTTACATAATGGGGTGGAGACATCCATTGGAGACAAGTATTTAACATATCCCTGAGCCTAACCCATAAATGAGACAGGCTAGTAAGAGTTCAGCACTTCCACCTGAAAATTTATTCTCTTTGAGTTTTTCCTTGAATTTGTTTATCAGAATAGCTTTATTCTGGACCTCAGAATAAAGTGGCACAGCGGTTGAGTGCTGGGCTGCGAAGCTGCCCGCGGCCTCTGCAGCACCAGTTTGATCTCTGGCCGCCGGCGAGGGTCCCACATGGTGCTCAGACCTCTCCTGCTGCACCCGCTGCTCCCCTCAGCAGTGTATTTCATCAGTCTGCCTGTTCTGTTCCCTGCTCTGGCTCTGGTGAATTCTCTCACCCTCCCGCGCTTCTGACTGTACCCAGTTCTTGTATAAATAAATAAATAAATCTTAAAAAAAAAAAGAACAGCTTTATTCTAAAATTGATTACAGGAGCTTCTGTAGTGAAATACAGTGTCCAGGGGCTGCTTCATAAAATTCCCTTTTGAAGCCAATACATCCTGGTTTTCTTTAAAGCAATGTGGTACATGAATAACTCTAATTAACTAATCAGAAATACTTTCAAAGCTGTACTTTGAGAATTGGAAGAATATATCCAATCCATATACTTTATTAGGAAGCTGAGAAACAGATTTTTGGAGAGGGGAAGCAAAGTGGTATGAAGGCATGTGGCATACTCATTAAACTTGTGTATGTAAGTTGAAACAACTGTGATTTCAGGGTCGATTTCATTTTGCTATGCCTATTAAAGAATGATATTTTTCTCAGTGGAAAGGTTTATTCACACTGCCCTCCATATTAAATTAACATTAGGTGAAGGCAGATAGAGGGTGGCACCTGATAATGCTGTCTTTATGCAATTGATGACTAGCAACTTAGTGACTACTAAAAGTAGGGGCTTGAACGGCTAAGTCTGCTCTGATATTCCTTGGTAAGGAAATTATCAAAATATTATTTTAAGGAACTGTATGAAAGAAGAAATAGGAGAAAGCATCCAAAGTCTACACACACCCTTTTCAATTTAATTTTAAGAATTGTAATCTATTAAATGTAGGTACTGTACTAGGTTCCGGATATATATAAGGATTGACCAAAAATTTAAAAGATTCAGTGTTTAAACAAAGTCATTTATGCATTAGCTTCCATCTCGTTCCTTTTCACTTATTGTAGCCACTCTCTACTACTCGACTTGGAATCTTCCAAATTATTTTATAATGACCTTTCTCTCTTGCCCAGATAATGACCCCTTTCAGCCCTTTTCTACATTTTCCTCAAGATTCATCTTTAAGACCACTTCTTTATACCCCAGACCCACTTACTTGAGCTTCCTCTTACCTAGTACTATTGTGTGTATAGTACGTTGCTACAGCCCTTAGGCTTTTCTTTACATGAAGGTGAGAACTTTCATCTCCCAGACCTCAGTGCTTTCTGTGCAACTTAGAGTATAGATCACCCCACTCTACACAAACTGCCTTTAACACTGTTAATTTGTTACCAAATAATAGGGGGTAACGAAGTAAAAGAATATGAGCACACTGCTGTTTCTTTTAACCGTACACTTTCTCATTTTCTCTGTCAGTACTTCTTTGAACCACTTTTTAATATAATTATAAATTATGATTCTAACATCACTTTTTTAAATTGTCTTCCTATGTGTCCTGTAAAAAATTTTCAACTTTTATAACCTCACCAAGGAGATTCTACTGCACAAATAAAAATTTTAACACAAAATGAAGGAATAAGTATTCAGGGCATGATTCGAAACATTTAGCTATTTCTTTACCAAAAAGTTGGTATTAAGTATAGCTGTGAGGATTGTGATGTAGCTTTGAGGTGTAGGTTTGATATTTGGATTTTGTTTATTATTCACCTGAAAATGGGCATAAATTTGGCTTAATTGCTAGGCCAGGAAGACCCATAATGATAATATTTGCTCATTGAATGAAATTCTGAGCTGTGAACCAAGGGATACTTGGGTAAACTAAGGCTAGTGGAGACGAACTTAGAAGACTGTAAATTTAAATGATTGAATGTGTGATAGCAGCAGATATACCCTAGAGTTGTTTTTATTCAGTAAATAGAGCTACTCTGCTATCACCTTTTCTATTAAAGAACAGTATATGAAGACAGATTGTTGATGCAGTAGGCAGAGACAAAATTTCCTTTTTAAAATTTAAAAAAATGGAGATTTGGAAAACAGAATACATTTGAATTTGTCCTAGTGGAATGTGCTTTTAATTTGAAAGCCTGGTTTTCTCTGAGCAGCTTTGCAGATTTTCAAAGGATTCTTTTGCTTTTGGAACACAGTA